TGATAGCTGTGCAGCCTGCATTCACCACATAAGACGCACACACATTTCCCCTTACTTTTCAGGAGGGAAAAAGTGAGTCTTATAGAGCAAAAAATACGGTAAATACATGGCAAGCCAAAAGCTTCTATCTTCTATTAGACTTCAACAAAAATACAAGAAATACAAGACAAACTAGGGGACACCCAAATACCCTCGCCGACACACTGCCAATTACATGCCTTCCTAAACAACTCTAAATAAGTTGGAGTTCTTGTTATTAAATATACACCAAAAAAGCACACCAAGAACTCAGGCCAATGTAAGTTTCAATAGTGGGAGTGGTCCCTACAAAACGCATTCAGGCGGCCATTATCGATTTGTGGGTTGAAAGATGATCAAGTGCGGAATTGACATCTTCAAAATTATACGCCTTGTAAAATTAAGATGCCATTTTGGCAATTCCCAGATATCACCTTCTCAATTCCGCCCTCGATCATCTTTCAACCCACATGTCGATAATGCCCACCTGAATGCGTTTTGTAGGGACCACTCCCACTATTGAAACTTACATTGGCCTGAGTTCTTGGTGTGCTTTTTTCTAGGTATATTCCTAAACAACTCAGCAGTAAAAACTGATAAGGACTTTTGAACATGCATATGTGAACTAGCCCTCTGAAGGCTTTAAATGGGAGAAAATCCATTTTGAAAAAGTAGTCCCTGCTCATCTGACAAGACTTTGACAGGAAATTCCTGCTGAAATAGTCCCAATCAAGCCATTTCTGTAGTTAAAAAATACTACCTGGAAAGCACTTATACACATTTCTAAGACAGACACAGGCATGATATCACCAAGCTATTTCTGGAGATCTGGCAAAGCCAACGAAAAAATTAATTCCTTTGAAAATGCAAGCTTTGATAAGAAAGTTGAAAGGGGAAAGGGGGGGGGGCGGTGATAATTTGGTGCAGCAACTTATGGGATTTTGTGCCCTGAGAGTATAGTGCCAGGAGCACACCAGAGAAGCTCAGACATGCAATCAAGACAGTTGCCTTGGTTTCTCACCGCCCTGGTAAATTATTTAAAGTGTTTGAAATTCCTATTAGTTAGGTGCCCTGGGGCAGTCACCTGGTAGACTGAGCAGTGGCTGATTGTTTGAAGAGTATCTGGCCAGCAGGGACCCAGCTTACTCATTCTGTAATAATGTGTGAATGGATGGGGAAAATAACACAGTAAAAATGAGAAGGGAAGAAAGAAAGAAAGAAAGAAAGAAAGAAAGAAAGAGGACAAGACACACGCACAGAGAGAGAGCAAATACCAAGAAGAAATGAGAGGAGGCTTGAAAGCAGCAATACTGATACAAAAGAAAGGAAATTGCCAAAGGACACCAGCTAATAAAGGGGGAGGTGACAAGGGGGCAGGGAAAATATTTCAGGAAAGGACCATGTCTGCATGTGCGTTCTGTGCTGTGTCTCTTGCTTTCCTTCCCAGCAATAACAAAATAGTTCTGCTTCTGTTCATAATCATGTTTTTGCCCTCTCCACTCCCATGTGCACATTCATTTCGGGAAAGGCAGGCTGGGGCTGCCATGTTGAGCATGCCAGCTTGGCTCTGCAGAGCAGTGGCCTTGCTTGGGTGCATACTGATTTGAAAGGGGCTTCTGCGGGGGGGGGGCACTTTCTGCTTGGTTGTGCCTTGTGTGTTTAGGGCTACTGTGCATGCGGAATATCACAGTGATATTCCGTATTTTCTACAGGGGGCTCAAGGTGGTATATGTGGTTCTTCCCTCTTCTATCTGCACAACAACCCTGCAAAGTAGGCCAGGCTGAGAGCCAGTGACTGCCCCCCCCCAGGTCACACCCAGTGAGATTCATAGCTAAGTTGAGGATTTGAAGCCCTGAAGTTGCCCCAGGCCTCCTGGTAGGATTGATCATTATTCCTTTACTTCAGTGTTTCAAACTCTTTACGATGGGGTTACCAGATCTCTCTGCTTGATTGCAAAGCCACACGATTAGAAAGAGATGGGAGGAGGCATCTGTAAGACATTTAATTTATTCCAGAGTCTATACATGGGGGCGGGGGGGGGGGAGGGAAAGAGAGAGAGAGCAGATCACACAAAATGTGTGGAAATGTGATTTCCCACCTGAGGCAAATAAAAAACCCAAGTGTCTCAAAATGCCATCCTCATTAGGATGCAAAACCTAGGTGAATGAAATAATGTCCGTTCTGGAGATGGGTGCAAGGAGGCCTGTCATGTTGAGGAACATCTCATGTGTAAGGGCTGCCCAATGACAAGAGCGGAAAAGAGAGGAGAAAGGAAAAGGCTGCCCTATCATTCTGACCATCTCCTGGAGGCTGAGGCAAGATAACTGTTGGTAGCAGCATCTTTCTCTCCCTGTTGCCTTCAGTCTCTTTTTAACAATCCAAGATAAATCACTCCCCGAGGACAACCCTTCACAGCCAAAGAAGCCCTTTCCCTTGCAAGGTATTTAAATAAAACTGGGACTGGAGGCAGGCGGGTGAGGGATCATTTCAGTTTCCTTATGTAGGCTTGGGTGGTATTGGGCAAGAAGGAACCCAGTTAACGTGCTGGTTCACAGAGTTGAAAAGAGTTGATTGTTCTTCCAAATGATACTGGGTACCAACTCCCATCTGTCCCAAACAGTCTGGCTAATACAGTGGAACCTCGGGTTGCGAACATGATCCATGTGGGAGGCACGTTCGCAACCCGCAGCATTTGCAACCTGCAGCACCATGTCTGTGCATGTGTGGGTTGCGATTCGGCATTTCTGTGCATGCACAAAGCGCAATTTAGCACTTCTGTGCATGCACAAGTGCCGAAACCCAGAAGTAACCAGTTCCAGTACTTCAGCGCAGTGCACAACCCGAAAACACATAACCTGAAGCATCTGTAACCCGAGGTACCACTGTAGTCAGGGATGATGGGCACTGCAGCCCAGCAATGTGCATCATGATTTTAAAACAACAACAACACACATCACGGCAGGGGAAATGAATAATTTCAACTCACAGTGGCAATGCCTGTTTTCTGGTTGTGACCCACACCGCCATCTACTGCTCGCACAATGAGTATGTATTCAGATTTAGCTTCCCGGTCCAGCAGAGATGTTGTGGTGATTTCCCCTGAAGAAGGCAAGAGAGGAAGGTGAAAAGAGAAGGGAGAGCTCGTAGGTTGAATGTTTGTGGTTCAGCAACATACAGTAGACAGGAAAGAGTTTTCCTTGTTATAGGTCACAGAGAACAGCACCTAGGGGCATAGGAAGACCCCTGTGGGATCAGAAGAAAAGCCCATCTGCTCCTGGTTCCACAGGGGCCAACCAGATACCTACAGGAAGGCTACACAAGCAGGACATGGAGGGTAATAGAACTCTACACACTTATGATTCCCAGTATCAGATATTCAGAGGCCATCCAAGTTGGTCATCCCATGATTCTTCCCCCCCCTTTTTTGAGGGGGTTTCCTTCAAATGTATGCCTTTGGCAGAGCTTTAGTGATACCTGGAAACTGGGCCTCTACCTCCTACTTCTTTAATTATTTTCTGATGTTGCAGGACTCTCCTCTAATTGGACTTTCATTTACAGCCATTTTGCTGAAAAGGGGCCAAAAACGTCTGCGCTAAACCAGATGGGATAATCTATTCACCAGCCCTTCCACAGTCCCCGCACCTCACCTCTAGAATTCAGCTTCTACAACACAATTATGCATTTCAGTTCTCTTCGATTGTAGGTTGCTTCTCACAGCGGGTATATCAGAGATGGGGTTAAAAACTAATCTAGATCACAGAACTGCAAGAGGTCAAAGGTTTTACTAAAATACATTTGCCTCCCAAGTTCCTGTGATATCCATTAATCTGTAGACTGGGGGGAAAAATTAATCAGTGGGGGATTTTTTAAATAAAAAAATAGTGTGTCTCAGTGATGGATTGCTCTACTTTGCCCACAAAGTTACATCCAATTAGGCACACCTTCACAGAGCAGTTTCAGCTAATTTCAGTGAGGATACTTCTACGGAAAAGTTCTTCTGTTCCTAAACCACAGAACTGAAATATAACATTTCTTCATTTCTCCTCCCTTCTGAATGCATCTATCTCCCTACAGAATATTTCAACAAGGAGGGTCATCATGGCCGAACTTGATCTCGTAGCAAAAACCTTGCTAAGCTTTTTTCCAAATTACTTGGAAATTAGGAAAATGATATCTATGATAAACTAGACGATACGTTTCAACTAAACTTTGTGTACTTGGGCTAAAACATCGCTATCCAGCGATATAGAATGGAAATAGCAAAAGCAGCAGTAGTAGTAGTAATAATAATAATATCCTGCCTCATCAAGGGATGTTTTGAGGCAGGGATGAAAAAATGATAAGCAAACATAATATCATTATTCAGTCTGAATAACTCTACATGAACATGTTTGTTTTCAAACAAACAAACAAACAAACATTAAGTATTGTATCTCTAAAACCCCAGCAGATTAAAACTTCAGAGTGTGTTACTTTATCTTGCACCTAAAACTTATATAGTGCCCCCTCTGAAAAGGCCCAGAACCTGCTTTACCACTGAAGACAGGAGAACCTGTAGTGGCCAGATCAGTAAATGAGATCCTTAGAAGGGAATGTGACACTCAGGCTGAAAAATGTTCCCCATCCCTGGTCAAAAGGAAATAAAGCTATAGCCATTATTATTATTATTATTATTATTATTATTATTATTATTATTTCCCAGTTGTAAATGGGGAACAAAGCCAACTTGGATGGACCTCAGGGCAAACTGGGCAGCCTATAAACCACTTTGGATCAAGGTGGGCTGTTTTCTGAAGTGCCAATTCCAGGTCCCAACTGAATCTTGTGGCTCATGCATATGTAATTTTCGCTCTATAAGACGCACCTTTTCCCTCCTAAAAAGTAAGGGGAAATGTGTGCGCGTTTTATGGAGCGAATGCAGGCTGCGCGGCTACCTCAGAAGCCAGAACAGCAAGAGGGAGTGCTAGCTTCTGGCTTAGCCCCTCTGTCCCTTCCCCCAGCTCCCGGAAAAGCCCCCAAGAGCCGCGCTCCCTTTGAAGATTGCACGGCTCTTGCTGGCTTTTCCGGGAGGTGGGGGAAGGGACAGAGGGCAGCCCCTCAGTCCCTTCCCCCAGCTCCCGGAAAAGCCCACAAGAGCCGCACTCCCTTTAAAGAGCCACGCGGAGCATGTGTGTGGCTCTTGGGGGCTTTTCCCCGAGGAGGGAGAAGGGCAGCCCATCACTGACAGGCTGCCCTTCTCCCTCCTCGGGGAAAAGCCTGCAAGTGCCGCACACACGCTCCGCACGGCTCGTGAAAGGGCGCGCTGAGCAGAGCCTGGGATGCATACAGGCTCTGCTCAGCGCTCCCTTTAAAGAATATTTTTTTCCTTTCATTCCCCCTCGAAAAACTAGGTGTGTCTTATGGTCAGGTGCATCTTATGGAGTGAAAAATACGGTATTTTGAGTGGAAGTAGCCTCTCAAAGTTCTGCACTGTATTTGTGGTAAGAGAAATTGGGGGAAACACATTGCTGCAATTCTCCAGGGAAGAATAAATTCTCCAAAAGTTTCACCATCAGCAGTGGCAATAGCACAGCTCTTTTCTTTTCCCCCTACAGGTCTCAGCATCTGGTCTTCATTTTACATCCTCCACAGGGCCCTGGACCTGGGGCCGTTCCTTGGCATTGTGGGTGGAGGAATTACAAAAAATGATGGGGAATAGTTTGAGAATTTCTTTTTCTTTTTCTAGGTGAAGGAATAAGAGAAGAATCTAAAAATCCCTCTCTCTGAAAAAATAATAATCCCACCATCCCTAATTAGAATATTTTAAATTTTCAGTATGAAAACTAGGGAGAACAGCACTGATAAGACTGCCTTATCCTGGTGTAGTTTTCCGTACCTTAAGACAATCTGCCTTGATTTGTAGAGCATGTGTAGATTTGGATTATGGGAAATTTGCACACCCACCTTGAAGAATGTCACAAAAATAGCCTAATGATTACACTGTATGGGAATTATAATGTGCTGAAGAGTCATTATTTTGACACTCAAAAGACTTTGTTTCTTTTGTGGCTGGGCAGCATGGCAAAAATGAGGGAGAGTAGAAGAGACAGAAGAGAATAAAGATAACAATTGCAAAGACATGATGGACTAAGCATGGAAGGAAAAAGAATATTGTGGTTGTGCTTACCTGAGCGAGCATTGATTCGAAAATGAGAAGACCCTTCCAGTGAGTAGATAATGGACTCCTGGCCATATTCTCTTGACCGATCCAAATCAGTGGCATTTAGAAACAGCACTGTTGCTCCTTGGAGAAAAATAATAAGGTGATGGGGGATTCTCATTTTTCAGGCACACCACTAGCTTGATTCTTCAGCCAAATTAGAGTAGTTTGAAATTAATCTGATTTAGGATTGAAGATGTCATTGGAACATAAGCCTAGTACAGACATCCAAGTAACCAAGTGGTTAAGACTTTCTACCATTACTTTGCTTCTGTATTCACTGAAACATGGTGTGGTCCTTCCCCCCTTAATGTAAGCTAATGTGTTCTAAAGAGTAAGTGAAAGTGCTTATTAAGTAGAAAGGATATTCCACATTTGCCACTTACTAAAGTCATCCTATCACTCTATGGCAGGTGACACTGTATGGGAATAATATTACCTACAGTACCAGAATATATGCTGAGAGGGGCACAGAAGAGCAAAGTGAATTTCAGAGGGGGGGTGGGGTCGTTCTGTGGAAAACGTTAGATTTCTGGGAGGGAAATAATAATGGCAGATTTTGTTTTAATGTTCTCATTTGAAACATATTGGTCCTGAAATAAGTCCTATTGGTTTTGCTGGAGCTGACTTTCAAGTAAACATGCTTAGGCTTGCAGCCTTATTTTAATTTCCGGTTCAAGATTTGTACATGAAAAGTGAATTTCATTCAAGTAGCCAAGGAATGCAGGAAGCAGAGAGACAAGTAGGGCACATGGCTCCCAGAAAGATAGAATTTTATGGCTTGAGCTGTACTCTAAGGAACAGCTTGACTTGGTCTGAACATAGCACTAAATGATGATCTAGTTTATGGTGTGGTTACAAAGAGGAGATTGGAAGTTTCCACTTGTTTTCAACGAACCGTGTTTGCTGTTATGTCAGGGCTCAGAACTATGATTAGTTTTAACTATTGCTTAGAGAAACAAGGCAGTGTCAGAAATGACAGGAGCAGCTCACAAACCTGCCATAATATCCTCCATGACTGTGATGACATAGGAAGGCTTGCTGAACGTGGGTGGGTTGTCATTTTCATCCTACGAAGATAAAAGAGAAAAAACAGCACACAACATAAACATCTAACCTAGTAGCAATAATGTTATGATGAAGCATAATGCAAAACACCTCAAAACACAGCGCAGTCTTATATATTAGAAGAAAAAAGCGACACATTTGGTTTTTTACTACTATTTCATTCAGCATCCCATTTTATTTTGTTAATATAATACAAGCTTTGACACAATATGAACACTGAGCCACCAGAACAAAACATGGAACGAACATTGAGGAAACAATTCTGCATTTCAAGCTGCAATAACAGATGACCCTCTACACCTGTTTCCAAAGTCACGGGGAGATTGAGCAATCGGAATAAAGTTGACTTCCGACTAAACATCAGGAAGAACTTTTTTATGAAATTAATAACAACAACAACAACAACAATAATGTATTATTTATACCCCGCCCATCTGGCTGAGTTTCCCCAGCCACTCTGGGTGGCTTCCAATTGAGTGTTAAAAACAATACAGCATTAAATATTTAAAACTTCCCTAAACAGGGCTGCCTTCAGATGTCTTTTAAAGATAAGATAGCTGCTTATTTCCTTCACATCTGAAGGGAGGGCGTTCCACAGGGCAGGCACCACTACCGAGAAGGCCCTCTGTATGGTTCCCTATAACCTCACTTCTCCCAATGAGGGAACCACCAGAAGGCCCTCAGTGCTGGATCTCAGTGTCCGGGCTGAACAATGGGGGTGGAGATGCTCCTTCGGGTATACAGGACCAAGGCCGTTTAGGGCTTTAAAGGTCAGCACCAACACTTTGAATTGTGCTCGAAAACGTACTAATGAACTGTTGACAGTGGAGTAGACTCCCTCAGAAGGTGGTGGACTCTCCTTCCTTGGAGGTTTTTAAGCAGAAGTTGAATGGCCAATTGACATGGATGCTTTAGTTGAGATTCCTCCATTGCAGCGGGTTGAACGATTAGATGACCCTCCAGGTCTCTTCCAACCGTACAATTCTATGGTTCTGTCATGGGACTGCCAAGGAATGCCTTTGAGCCAGGGGGAGGCGAAGAGTCAGAACGGGAACAGTCAGAAGGAGACTGTCAGGAAATGGCGGAAGGGGGAGAAGGGGAGAGAGCTGGAGGGAGCCAGGAGGTGTCAAGATTCTCCGATGCTGAAGCAGCACCGCACAGGGAGCTCAGGGACAGACTGAGAGCCTATTCCTGTGCAAGGATCAGAGACATCCCATGAGGCTTGCCTGCCTCTTCTGTTGGAGGAGAAGCAGGAGAAGACCACTCCCCGAATCTGAACCAGACGATTCGGATGCATAAGTTGTATTGTGCTGCTTGTACATATGTAAAATAAAGAACTGTAAATATCTCTCTGAGTGAGCAGAGGGTGCTTATTGCGAAGAGCATACACAAACCTTCACAGATTCTATGTTATCCGCATTCAGAACATTATTCTATTTTTATAATTCAAACTCCATCTTGATACCCACACCTGTTTCAAGAGCACAACAAAATATGTAATAGTAGAAGCCAATACTTCAGAAACCCCATTGTCAATAGTGCCTTAAAGCCTGAAGAGATAAAAAGTAATAGACTGGCCTCTAGCTAACGTCGCAGTACAGAAAGTTAGGCATTTAACAACATTGCCAATTGTAGCTTGTATATGCTGGGTTCTCTCACAATGGATGCACAGGCTGGAGGAGCAATATCTCTACACTCCACAAAAAAAGAGTTTCCACTGCACACACATTGCTTCAAATGAAGAACATCTGCACATAAGCCTGACAATGTGTGAAAACATCCTTAGAACGCATTGTGACTGTATCTGGACTAGATACACTGTAGGGAGACAAAGGCACCATGCTTTCATCATTCTAGGCTCGACCTAGAGATTTTTGTACTTTCTATCTTTGATGTTTCTTTCTTTTCTTTTCTTCTTGTCACAAAAGTGACTAGGCAACCAGGAGAAACAGTGAAAGGGAATGTATAGAATTCACTGGCAAAAAAATGTGGCCATTAAATAAAAATGTTTCCATTCAGCATAGCACTTGTGGGGATTAATTGTTCTGACAGTAGGCATAAAACCTTTCAGAAACAAAAGTTTGCAGTGGGAAAATGTTGACAATTAATGGTTTAATTAAATATTTAATTTCACCAAACCATGTCCCTCATCCTCCAATAATCTGATCCACACACAATGGAGGGTATTTTTTTTTTTTTTAAGGATATCCAGAAAAGAAACTTTCAGCAGCAGGAGGAAGAAAATGGCCGAAAACTTCATATACGTCCTGTTAGGATGGGACTTTATTTTTACAGGATTCAAAACCAGATCCTTGGATCACTGTGTAACATAAAGTGTTCGGGCTGAGTTAGTCTCCTGCGTTGCATGCTTTCCCAAATTATCACTAGCTTTGCTATTTGCTTCCCTCACCCCTTCTTAGTTTAGTTAAGCTTGTATACAAATGTGTGTGTGTGTGTGTATTTTCCTACCCATTAAAATTTTACTTTCTAGCATGTATTTTTTTCCAGAGGGACAAAAGAAACCTGATTTCCCAATCGTGGCTCTGCAATTCAAATTAACATTATTAGAGAAAGAAAAACAGTTCTAGGGAGGACTTAAAATACTGTAATGAAATATCAAATCATTCCTAGTTTCTAGCTAGTCAGCTATTATTCAAAATATTAAATGACTGAATTTTTTACTAGTAATTTCGCCCCCCCTTATAATCAGTTATCTGAGGTGAAGAATACATGTATTTTAAATATTCCAAAATGTAAAGCTTAATAAAAATATAATATCTTCTGTTTTTAAGAGAAAGACTGTAATCTTTATTAATATAAAG